GACGCCAGGTGGGAGGAGCTTCTCTCGCTCCCGCCTGGAGCTCGCACTGATTCCCGCAGAGGAGCGCCTGTCTTTCAGTCTGCTGTGTCTGAGCCAGCTTTAGCTTGTTCTTATACTAAATAAATTACTTTAACTTCACAGCCTTTGTACATTGATTGTGTTACTTACTTTTTAAGAACGTTACTATTCATACAAATAATATTACAAGTAACAATAATGACAATGAAAAAGCTGCTCCTCGTCTCCAGATTGGTTGAAGCCCGGCGTCAAGCTCCAAAAGCTTTTCTCAACTTCGGCGTTAAGGGACTTTTTTACAACAAAAGAGACGCAAGCATTACGCGTGTCAAAAGCTTCAAGTGACGCGCATAATGCTCGCGTCTTTTGAATCGCTTCAAGTGACGCCGGGCCTCTCAGCGTCACCTGACGCGCTTCACTATTCATTTTCAGTGCAAAACTGACGCTTTTCAAGTCTAAGTTGAGTCCGGGGTGAAAACACCTTAAGCGAGTGCCCAACCAGTCTTTCCCACCGCTTGTATCTACAATCTCGTTCTTTCGGTCATTATCCAAAGCTCATGACCATGGTGATGGAGGGAACAAGAATTGACCGGTAAATCAAAAGTGGCCGCATCACTGCGCACGCTGCACCAATCCACCTGTCAATCTCACGCTCCATCCTTCCGTCACTCGTGAACAAGACCCCGAGATACTTGAACTCCTCCACGTGAGGAAGGACCTCTCCACTTTGGCGGCACGGTGGCTGAGTGGATAGCACTCTCGCTTCTCAGCAAGAAGGTCCTGGGTTCGAATCCCAGTCGGAACAGTGCCTTACTGAGTAGAGTTTGCATGTTCCCCGTGTCTGCATAGGTTTCCTCTGGGTGCTCCGGTTTCCCCAGGCACTAAAAACATGCTCAATAGGTATTAATGGATAATGAAGATTGGGGGCTGATCAGTGGGTCCCGGCTTGAAAGTGGCCAAAATGATGCGCTGACATGCTTGCAATACCACCCCGGGCCGATGGGGGTGGACCCGGATTAAGAATTAGCCAATGCTAACGTATAGCATTGGCAGACCTCTCGAAAAGGATGGTCCAAAAGTTGGCTCTTGGCCCAAAGCTCCGTTCCACATGTGTGTCAATGATGAGGGGGGTGAATTTTTTTGGACCACTCTACTTTACTCGCTGTTAATTTTTTAAGTCTCTCGTTCAAATGAATGGAGCTTGCGCCGGCTGACGCATGCGCAGATGCTTTTTTTCCGCTATATAATTTTTTTTATATATATATATATAAATGCGCTATATAAATAATCATTACTCATTACTCGAGAGGGCAAGGCACCTTTTTCCGGTCAGGCATCATGGCCTCGGATTTGGAGGTGCTGATTCTCATCCCAGCCGCTTCACACTCGTCTGCAACCGTCACAGTGCATGTTGCAGGTCCTGGTTCGTTGGAGCCAACAGGACAACATCGTCGGCAAACAGCAGAGATGAAATCCTGTGGTCTCCGAACCGGACCCCCTCCGGCCCCTGGCTGCACCTACAAATTCTGTCCATTATGACAGTAAACAGAAGCGGTGAAAAAGGGCAGCCTGCACCTGCCGGCAATGCAAATACAGCTCTGGTAGAGGACAATAATGAAGTCATGAATCCAGTGAAATTAGTCACACACCTTTTTACAGTAAAAAGTTACAGTAGATCAAAAGTGACATTTTTTGACCATTTTTAGGCTATTTTGGACCCAAATGGCTACTTTAAATAAATATTTCTACAGTAAAAGTTTCTGGTCTTTGGTACAGTGGTAGAGGGCAATCATGAGGTCATGAATCCAGTGAAATTAGTCGCACACCTTTTTACAGTAAAAAGTTACAGTAGATCAAAGGTGGGAATGTTCTTAGTTTTGTGTATTTTGGGCTAAAAAGTGTACTTTGTCTCAATTTTACCCACAATTTCCAAAGTAAAGGTTTGTGGTTGTAGGCACAGCGGTGAAGGCAGTGGTGAGGTCATACACCCAGTGGAATAAGCCACACAAGTCTTTACTGTAAAAATGGACAGCTGCTGAAAATGTCACTTTTTGACCAAATTAAATGCTTTCCAAATATGGGTTCATTCACAAAAACTATGGAAGACTATTGGCCTCTTTATTCATTGTTCTATTCATTCTTAACATGGCATTTAGTTTAGAGTTGTATTTGGCAAAATTGCATGTTATATCCTTTTTTGACTTGTATTCCACATTTGAGTATGTTAAGTTTCATTTAATGTGTTGTGAAACAGCACCTCCCTCTGGATTGCATTGCATATTCCATATTGCATTGCCACATGGTTTGAGTGCAACTCAATTCAATATGCTATGCAGTTCTTGACCCCTGGGAAGGCGGGCCCTGGTCCGCTCTCGGCCAATCAGACGAGTCTATATCCTCCTAGCTAGATGCGCTGTGTTGTTGATTTTTGCTTAAAGATTGGAAGACAGATCACCCTTCGTGTTACTCTAAGGAGGTTCTAATAACCTCCTTATAGATTTTGATTGGCCGAGAGCGGACCATCTAAATCATAGCATATTGAATTAAATTTGTGGATTTTTACATCTAAATCATTAATTTGTGGCCTATATAAAGCGTAACTGCAATGCCTGGGTCTGAGTCTCATTATTTGTAGCTCCACGGGCCTTTCTTCTACACCTGTTCTGAGGTGCGTCTGAGAGCAACCGTTTTGGTGCTGTCTCTTTAAATGCAAATAGGCGCTTTTGACCACGCCCCATCCAGGTGACACAGGTTCAACTCCACCCCGAGCGGCCATTTTTGTAGTTTCTAAGCACAGATACAATTACTAGAAACTTCTCACAACATCGCACACATGAAGCAGACCTTCCTCAGTGACTGAAAGCAAATGTTAATTATCATTCATGTTCCAGTCTTATTATCGACTCTTCTCTTTTTAGCTTTGGGATCCATGCGCACAGTCTATGATGCTCACACGCGTTTGCTTACAACAGCGGCCGCATGGGAGTGGGCCTCGTCGCAGGATATGACGCACTACGTGACAGAAATTTTTTTATTGATTATTACTCATGCATAATTTTACAGCATTTAAAACGTTAAGAACGTTTTTCCTTCTACAGAAGGAAAGAGACGCATGCGCTCCGGGAGCAGCAGGTTGCCGGATCCTAGTTTATACAGTATGTGGAAGCAAATACTGTAGAGGATCGGTATGTGCAGTTTCAAAATAAACTAAAATGCAAAGTCTACATTACAAGAGAGTAATACCATGTCTCAGAGTGAGGGAGGTGGACACAGACAAACATATTGTTTGATACAGGGATGAGAATTTGTCAAAAAGACTGAAATGCATATTGTCAGTCAGGTTAGCTGGGGGGTTTGGGGGGGGGGGGAAGTGGGGGGGTGGGTGGGGATGGCTCTAAATCTGTTTACTTTGTTCACAACATATTACTTTTGAGCTCAGACATGAACTTTTATGGCCAATGCAATGTAGTTATCAGAGCTTATTTAGGGTGTTTAATCGCGCTACGAGAGAGAGGAGGAGAAGGGACAGTTTCCTGCAGCAGTGTATTTGTTGGGTGCACAGATTACCTCCAAAGACACGCATGGTCTTGTGGCGTTTATAGGGGTTGGGTACTGGCCACGTTGAGGCTGCGCGCTCAGCCACAACACGGTGGGCGGCTGGACGTCACAGCCTCTCGCAGAGCTGGACGCGGCAGTGCTCTTTTATACTAAGCGGCCGGAGATGCCCCGGAACACTGCGGCGCTGAGGTGGCGAAATCCGTTCGGTCTTACAGCAGGTGCCCCGCGGATATGCGCGCCACCGCTCAAAAAATTCTCAACGGATTTACCATTCTCATAAAAATGTGTTTTGGTATGAGGCAGACAGGACCGGGGCCCAATTTGGGCATCGGCCCTTTGGGCATTGCCCGGTACGCTGATGGCCAGTCCAGCCCTTTTCGTAGGCATCCTTGACTTGGACTACAATTCGAAGTGATGCACAGTAGAGGAGGGCTGGGCCCGGGAAGTGTTTTGTTAGACCGGCCATGCCCTGATATAGCCAGTCTCGCTGCAAATACTGTGGAGTATTAATTCTAAACAGTAATAGGGGAAGCCAAATCAGAACGGGTTGAAAAATTTACCTAAACAGAATATGGACGTGTTCTCTGCAACCCATGAAGAGACTGATTAAAACTTTTTTGCACTCTAGAGGCTCCAACTTCACAACATCTGGCATTTAAAAGAACAAAAGTGATAATTTTTCAGGAGTCCCCATTAAAATGAATCCTGTGTTGAAACGATCAATTTCACAGCCTCAATTGATATTTACTGGTTTGTTTGTTTTATTTCTGTACTTTTCATCTTGTTTTAAATGTGTACTTGTATTGTGCACACTGTGGACTTTTGCAATGTATTCCACCATATATATCCTTATGGTTTAACTGCAAATGCGCAAATAAATGAATCTGAATCTGATGTGCATGAACTTTCTGAAGTGCAAGGAGCCGTACCAAGAGAGTTCACCTTCAGTATGAATCTGAATCCCACTGCATACCGCCACCTGTTCACACGTAAACAATGCACAGTAAATTAACAATGAGATTTTTTTGACAATGAGGCGAAATAAATGAGTATAATTGACACATCATGGTCTTAGAGGAGGAGCTACAGTAAGTGGAGACGGAGCAAGACAGATCATGTGAGCGTGAAAACTACTTTTGCTGAGCAACACTTTTCTCGTCTTTTCATTTTAAATTGTGACCATAAATGATTGCAATATATCCAGAACTGTGGGCCTGCCTGCTGTCCCACACCCGCTCAGGACCCACATCAACCCCCATCCTCAAAACAACTCATTGTCTCCCTCTCTGTCTACTGCATACATTATAAGGTCCTCATCGTCACCTACAAGTCCCTTCATGACCTACGCCCTCATATCTCACGACGTCAAATTGGTTCTGACTCCACCTCAGAAAAACGTGTCAAACTCTGGGGGACCGAGATTATTTCTAAACTGAGGACCGATGTCTTCTGACCCTGAGGACCGAGTCTTCTGAACCGGTGAGGACCGAGCTTCTGAACCCTGCGGACGAGTCTTCTGAACCCTGCAGGAGCTGAGTCTTCTGAACCTGAGGACCGAGTCTTCTGAACCGTGAGGACCGAGCCTTATGAACCCTGAGGACCGAGCCTTCTGAACCCTGGAAACGGTCCTTCTGAACCCAGAGGACGAGTCTTCAGAACCCTGAGGACCGAGCCCTTATTGAACCTGAAATAACGAGTTTCTGAACCTGAGGACGATTATCTGAACCAGGAGGGACGAGTCTTCTGAAACCTGAGGGACCGCGTCTTCTGAAACCCCCTGAGGACCGAGTCTTGCTGAACCCTGGTGGGCCGAGTCTCTGAACCTGAAGGACGAGTCTTCTGAACCCATGAGGGGGGGGGGGGACCGAGTTTTCTGAACCTGAGGACCGTGTCTTCTGAACCCTGAGGACCGAGTCTTCTAAACCTGAGGGCCGAGCCTTCTGAAACCTGAGGACCGAGCCTTCTGAACCTGAGAACCGAGTCTTATGAACCCTGAGGACCGAGTCTTCTGAACCCTGAAGGAACGAGTCTTCTGAACCCTGAGGACCGAGTCTTCAGAACCCTGAGAACCGAGTCTTCTACAACCTGAGGACGAGTCTTCTGAACCTGAGGGACCGAGTCTCTGAACCGTGAGGACCGAGTCTATTCTGAACCCTGAGGGACCGAGTCTTTGAACCCTGAGGACCGAGTCATCTGAACCTGAGACGAGTCTTTAAACCCTGAGGACGAGTTTATGAACCCTGAGGACCGAGTCTTCTGACACCGTGAGGACCGAGCCTTATGAACATGAGACCGAGTCTTCTGAACCCTAGGACTGAGTCTTCTGAAACCCTGAGGACCGAGTCTTCTGAAACGTGAGGACCGACCTTATGAACCCTGAGGACGAGCCTTCTGAACCAGAGGAAACCGAGTCTTCTGACCCAGAGGACCGAGTCTTCTGAACCTGAGGACCGAGCCTTCTAGAACCTGAGAACCGATTTCGTCTGAAACCCTGAGGACCGAGTCTTCTGAACCTGAGGGACTGGTCTTCTGAACCCTGAGGACCGAGCCTTCTGAACCAAGAGGACGAGCCTACTGAACCCTGAGGGGACCGGAGCCTTCTGAACTGAGGATCGAGCTTCTGAAACCCTGAGAGAGTCTTTGAACCTGGGGGAAAGAGGTCTTCTGAACCCAGAAGACCGAGTTTCTGAACCTGGGGGGATCCGAGTCTTCTGAACCCTGAGGAATACGAGTCCTTCTGAACCTGAGGACCGAGTCCTCTGGACCATGAGGGCCGGTCTTCTGAACCTGGGACCGAGTCTTCTGAACCCTGGGTGGACCGAGGTCTTCTGAACCCTGAGGACCGAGTCTTCTGAACCCTGGGGGACTGCGTCTTCTGCACCTGAGGACCGGAGTCATATGAACCTGGGGGACCGATTTATCGCGTGTGCAACTCATTCTTTTACACGTTCTGTATTTCTGAATTTTCCCCACTGTTGGACTAATAAAGATTCTCTTAACCCACGCAGACCACAGGGAGAACATGAAAAATTCCACACTGAATGGCCTGGATGTGGACTGAACCCAGAAACTTATTACAGTGCGCTAACCACTAGCCACGGTGCCGCCGTAAACTGTTGTCAGAACAGGGCAGCGGCGAACACGGCGTCACAAATGGCGTTAAGAAACAGTTCCACAGCCGGAACACAACATCCAATCCCTTCCAGCCTGAGTTTGTGCTGCTCTCTGTGTGTAATTCAGCCGTCCAGTACAATACATGTGATGTCCTGCACCGTCTGCCCGGAGTCAGCCCCATGGGCCCAGAAGGGTGGTGGCAAAGCTCTTTTAGCTGTCGCCACCGTTGGACTACCCACCCCCTCTGCCAGGACTGGGAAAACTGGGAAAACACCTAAGTCCAACAGTCGAGGGTGTAATCAGGGCCTGCAGCCGTGTGCCACGACAGAGTAAATATGTACTATAATGACCGTGTGTGTGTGTGTGTGCGTGCGTGTGTGTGTGTGCGTGCAGTGTTTGTGTGCGTGTGTGTGTGTGTTTGCCAAGCAGTCATATTGGAACTAAAGGGGGCATACATGGGGTTATGATGGGAAAAACCATGGCTTTAGTGGCTTGGCAGTGAACTCCTGGAGCTGGAGGGAAACGGCAAGGAATGTAGCAATGGGATGGGAAACATGTTCCCTACTTTATGCGTCGGAGGCTCTTCAGAAAGGATTGTTTCAGATTTAATGTTTTGTCCCGGAGCCTAACAGTTGAACGCAGGACAGTTGACAAAAGGTCACTACATTTAATGGTGATTTTATCTTTCCTTTAATGTTTTCCTCAAACATTTGAATCACATGTTGAGACTCTACATCTTTGTGGAGCAGACGGGACTGGCCTCCTGCTGGGACTCAGAGGAGCACAAGGGGGAATGGGCCTCCCAGCTGGGGGCTCTGAGGAACACAGGGACTGGCCTCCTGCTGGGACTCTGAGGTGGCAAATGGGACAAGCCACCTGCTGGGAATCTGTGGCCGAACTTTAAAAGGGAGGCTAACGTTTTCTGATTTTGCAGCTAAAATATGGAAATGTGAGACAGGCTTCTTCTCTGACATTGTCATATCCAGGTTACATATAGGCCGTGTTCTCTAAATAAAGGTGAAAAAATAAAAAGTTATAGTACCTTTCATCTTTGATCTTTTTTAAATGTACTGTGATTATTTGTTATATAAGTGCCTTGTGTGATTGCCTTGATCTTGTTTTGTTTAGCACTTTGATTCCATCAGAAAGGCTCTTTTATTTAAAAAGTAGGGGTTCAAAAGGAATAAAACACAAATTTCAAAAACAATGATATGAGTCTACATCTCAGTAATCCAAAAAAAAAAAGAACACATTGCTTTCTATCAGGAGTAGAAGATTACATTCCATCCTCATGTTCTTCCCTTCATCGGGCCGGGACGCGTGAGCAGCAGTCTAAGCAGAGACGCCCAACTTCCCTATCCACACACACTTCTCCAGCTCTTACAGGGGGCGACCCCAAGGCGTCCAGGCCGCTGAAGCCAGGAGTCCTGGGTCTTCCCCGGGGCCTCCTCCCAGGAAAGACTGAACTGAACATTAAAGGTTAACTCCTGATCAACCTCAAGAAGTGCCGCTCAGCGACATAATTTCTTCATCTCTACATCAAAAGGCTAAAATCATTCATTTCTCTGACCATTTTGTGAGGACGATGTGAGTCATGTTTGTTCATGTCCTGGATAATTTGATAATCAGTCAGTAAAATAAACAACCAAATCTGAGAAACTTCTAGAAACCATGACGACTGCACCACAGGGCGTGATAATGAAAAACAATTACGATGGGTACATTTAATATTTGGGCCTGCTTAATATTTCACTACTTCACAAAAGTTTATCTCTTAATTCTTTTAAGTTACAGTCCTCTTGTATTGCAGCCCAGGGAAAAGTACTGTTAACATTGCAGACAATACAGTTCAGTTTTTGGCCATTCGTTCTGTCATGTGTTGTTAAAGTGTTAATGTTGAGACAGTGATAAATTAATCCGCCACAGCTATGTAGCTCCAAAAACAGTATAATTTATTTAAATTCTACTGATAATTTTTTCTTGATAACAGAACTCTCAAACCAATAATGACCGCTGCCCTTTGACAATGCAATCTCCGTTTGTAATTCAGGTGTGTAATATACTGCCATTACTCTGCAAGTACGGGAGAAGCTAGCCGAGCTAGCCACGCTCAATAAACAAATACATATCAATCAATCAACACCATGAAATGTTAATCAGACAGTACAGTATACATATACATCCTTAACACACATGCACGGCCGTTTTCAGAATTTGTTGTTATCGTTTTCATGACAAAATTACTATTTTTATGTGACCAAAAGCGATCGCGAAAAACCCGGAAGTAACCGTTGACATGTAGTTCCAGGGAGCTAGCTAGCTTAGCTGTTACCTGCCTAGCACGTCCGGATGAAACCTTTGGGAGCTATTGGCAATCATTGAATACATTTTGAGTTATAAGGGCTGTCTAATATTTGTTCAAATACATATACATATTTTTAAATTTAGAATGTTATTTGAACTTTGAAGTTGAAGCTCTAGTGTTTAGCAGCGCCGTAGGGGCTAGAGCAGGGGTGCTCACACTTTTTCAGCATGCGAGCTACTTATAAAAGGATCAAGTCAAAATGATCAACCTACTACAAAAATGCAAATCATATATTTATTTAAAAAAATATTCTTTATACCTACAATGTATGTTTATGTACATGCAAAACCGCATGAGCCAATATAGCACAACACAACACAATTACCTATGTACATTTTTTGTCATTAACCGAGTTTACTCTGATGACTTGCACTGAATTGAATCGGCCAGGGATGCATAGTCCGGAAAATTGGTGGCAACTCGCTGACAAGTTTGTCGTGGTTTAGCTTTCCTGCACTGAGCGCGGTTGTTTGCGCATGTGCAGTCACCTAAGTGTCAGTAAAACATTATTGAGTAAAACACAGATGTCATTTGACTGTGGTGCCATGTCCATGTGCCATGCCTGTTTTTTTTAAATCCAAATATTTCCCCTCCTCCGTTTATAAAATAATTTGCATCCACACATCTGCGTTATCAATCACATTCGTAACATTCCAAACATGTGCGTCTCTTACGTCCTGTCCTGCGTTGGGGAAAAACACAGAAGTGGGCGGAGTTCTGATGCAGACGCCGGTAACAGCACTTTTACAGTCATAGAAGACACTCAGAGTAAAGAGTAAGACGTATGTTTACAAGCACTGACCCCGTCCTCAGCCCTGGTTTAGTCCTGGTTTAGTCCTGGTTTAGTCCGGGTTTAGTCCTGGTTTGGTTGTTTTCGAGCGTGAGTCCCTGCGATCACTTTGCTGCTCTCTGATGTGGAGCGAGGATGTTCGCTGCTGCGAGCATCTCACAGCGAACAGTTTTTAAGGTAGTATGATCCATGCTTCAGTGATCAGAGGAATTAGGGGGGTACTGTGGCGTGCGAGAACGCAAAACTCTGGTTATCTCTGTCTACACACAAATGCATTAACGGAGTTTTCAAAAATCTCCACTTTGCCCGGAGTTTTTTGTATATATTAGTTTAGAATGTGTAATTTTTTATTTATTTAATGCGATCTACCAATACTACCTTTGCGATCGACTGGTAGATAGCGATCGACGTATTGAGCACCCCTGGGCTAGAGGATGCAGGCTGTTCACTGCTCGTTCTGTGAGTGGAGGAGAACGAGCGTCCCGCTAAGACTCTATTCAGCACTTTTCACTGCTTGTATTCATACACATCTGAATCAATGACCTCAAGTTTTCAATTAAATTACAGATTATAATACAACTTGTATGTAGTAATAAGCATTTTTATGAACTACTTAGAACAAAATCGGGTATAGATTCTTTAATAAATAGAAAATGTGTTGAACGCAAAAGTACACGGACCCGAGACAATGGAAATGTACTAAAAACATACATACATATTTTTCAATAAAATAAATTATATTTTTTGCCGAAATGTATATCAGTTTGGTATTTTATCTGGCATTTTCATATCCACTAAACTATTTGACTAACCCTGCTCAAGGTCTTTAATAAGGTGATTCACACAGACTCATGTTTTTTTTGATCCAGACAACAGGGAAAGGTTAGAATCTTGTTTGGACCTGTGTCGGGCTTTCACCACAGGGAAACACAGAGCATGGAAACAGGAATGTTTCCATGGCAACGCCATCACACTGTTCTATTTCTCTGGTTGGAACTCAGCCAGGGTGTCATAGCAACCATCTCGCCATGGCGATATGATTTCACTTAGAATACGATGATCTCATCGCCTGACAGAGAATTCCATAGTCTGTGTGTCCACTGGAGACTGGGGTTACACCAGTGGATAAAGTTACTTCAGAAACTGCGAAGTTACAGCAGATTTTCCTTCCTTACCGTTAAGCATAGTTTAACCATATGTGAGCATAGTTTAACCATATGTGATTCAATTCAATTCAATTCAATTCATTCTTTATTAAGAACACAGATAGAACTGGTTCATAAATTTAAAAAAAGTTATTTACCCCCTAGAACTTTGCCCCCTATAGAGCATCGCCCTAAAGCAGTGACAGCTAAAACCATAGCTATGCCTGCCTTAAACCGGCCCCCTTAAAACTTTGCCCCCTATAAATATTTCCCATAAACCGTTGCCCACAATCTGCATCGTCCTCTGCAGATATTCCCCCTTTAGATATAAAACCATTACAACCGAAAACATCACAAATTGGACCCTCTGCTCCTGAACCTCCGCGTGACACAAATTCAGGACCGAAAAAAAACATCCGTGCCCTGGCCTTAGAACGAAAACTCAAGTACAACAAGGAAGTTGCGAAAGCTCAAGAAAACAAGC